TTCCCCCCCCCCCTAAAAAAAAATATCTTCTTCATTCGGAGAATTCTGACCTCATTTTCTTTTCGTATTAGAAACAAAATTCTATATATACTTTTTCCTATATATTTTGCGCCACGCGGGGTCCCATCGCAGCATGGCGGGGGAGGGGTGGCAATGGCACAGTGTGGTCCCCTACCAGGTGACCACCCAGGCCGCCCATCACTCATGCATGAAATTCAGCTGGCAACTGTGTGTGGCATGGGACCCCAAGTCCACTGCCAGCAGCCACTAGAGTATGCCCAAGGGTGACCGGGCACCTTAGCCCGCCATCAGGGGAGGCGGCCCAGCGGAGGGAGCAGCCCAATGGATGCTCCTCCATGCTGGGCCTGGCTCAAGTCCTCACCCTGGCCACTGTGAATGCCCACTGTGGACCTCAGGAACCTGCCACCTCGTTCACACTGGTGCCCCCACAGCCTGACACCAACCAGTGTTGCTGCTCCTGCACCTGTGCCCGGCTGGGCCTCAGAGCCCATCAACCTGCTTGGCCGTCCAGGTGCCACATCCTTGCCTGCACCGTCTCCTCTGCCCTCCCTGGTGGGGCTCCCTTCCAAACCCCTTGTCTCTCCTGGACCCGTGTGTTCATGTGTGTGCACATGCATGCCCGTGTGCAGCCTGCCTAGAACCAGGCAGAGCCCAGGGCAGCGAATGGCCTGAGTGGGAGAGAGAAGCCGAGTGGGCAGCCCACGACGAGCCTCTGCAGTTTGACTCCCAGCTGCTCTGCTTCTGATCCATCAGCCTGTGAGCGCGCCTGGGAAAGCACTGGAAGGCGGGCTTGTGTGCCTGCCACCCAGCTGGGAGACCCGAATGGAGTTCCGGGTTCCAGACCTGGCCCTGGCAGCCACTTGGGAAGTGAACCAGGGGATGGAGGCACATCCCCCCCCACACACACACACTCCTTGCTCTGCCTCTCAAATCACACATCGTTAACAAAAATACTTGCAAGACCAATACTCCGCTGCTGGCTTCCTGCCACTCCCCAGACCCGCACCTCGCGAAGGCCTCCTTCCCCCGCAGGGCCTCACCTGGACAGAAGTGCAGGTGGTGACGACACTCGTCCCCAGGCCGGTGCTGTCACTCAGGTCATCCGGCAGGGAAGGCGTCTTCTCGACCCGAGGGGCCTGCGTGGCCAGGAACGAGGGGCCCTTCAGGGACATGTTCACGTCTGTGCCGTTGCCGAAGGCCTGGATGGCGTTCCCTGGGGTGACAGGTGGATGCCGGGAAATGGGGACCCTCCGCTCTCACTGCCGCCCTGCCCCCACTCTGACCCTCGCCTTCCCCGGGGCAGAGGGCAGCGCCCCCACACCTAGCCTGGCTGTCGCCCCATTTCAGACACCCACGGGGCGAAGCAAGCAGGCTGAGACAGAGAGGAAAGAGGACTAACCCAAGAGGATTAACCCCTTGGATGGAACTCTGTGTCTCAGGCTGCACCCTCTAACCAGGAGCCTGGAGCGACCCCGCGCTCCACTCGACGACCCACACACCCTCTGCACCGCGGATAACTCCTTCCAACACTGCGCTATCCCGGCCCCTCTGCCTGGGGAGGCTCAGCCGCGATGCCTCCCCACCCGCCCACCTGCCGAAGCTCCCTCCCTCCCCCAGCCTGGTTCACAACGGCTGTGGTCACACAACTGCTGCAGCCTGCTGATGGGGCTCCGTGCGGGGTGGTGGGAGCCCCAGCCCTAACCCCACCACCTCCACGCACGAGCAGGGGGGCTTCCAAGATGCCGATCGGTCAGCCGGTCCCATCACCTTCAGATCGGCAAGGCCCCCTTGAGGACCCCCGTGCACACAATGCCTCTCTCCAGCCGTCCTCAATGCCATGCGGCACGGCTGGGCCTCCATGGGCTTCTGGGGAGCCTGGGCCTCTGCCTGTCCAACCAACCGATGCCGGGTCACCCGCCCACCAATGGCTACACCTTCTGAGAGGCCTTCAGGCCTGGGGACATCCAGCCCGTCCCATGATCACAGCCACCATCAGTCCCCCTCCATCCCAAGCCGGCTTCTCAATGACAGGCACTGTCACCTGTGTCCCCAGCACCATACAAAGAGGCAGGAAAGAAGGATGGATGGATGGACAGACGGACGGATGGCAAGGAAGGGGAGAGGAAGAAGGGACAGGGCTCTGCTGTGCGTCTCTCCAAGAGCTCAAAGCCCAGAGTCGTGGTGGAGAAAGGGTGGTGGTGAAAGCCCCGTGTCCACCACCAGCCGTACGCACGGCCAGAGGAGGCAAGGGCTGGGGCGCAGCCCAGGGCCCCGCCCAGGACACCCCCTGACTTACGGAGGCACGGGTTCTCGGTGAAGTCCCTCAGGAACCTCTCGCACTCCTCCTCCATGTTCCCGCTGCCACGACAGCTGCACCAGGGGGACACCACGATGCCGGTGGGGCTGGAGTCCACGTAGTTGGGGGTCATGTCGAAGCCTGGTGGGGGAGGGGGAGGACAGGGAAGCAGTGGGGCCTTCCCTCTGGGCCCCGGACCCCCTAAAGACACACACACACATACCGGCTCCCAATCCTGACTCAGAGCCCAGGGCCCGTGGGTACCAGCTGGGGGAGCCTGGGCAAGTTAACGCGACTTTCCTAAGCCTCAGTTTCCTCATCTGTGAAATGGAGACGCCAACATCCACTCTCGGGAGAACCAATCAGACAGTTCGTAACCTGCTCAGGGCAGGGCCTGCAATAAATGCTACCTTTTTTTTTTTTTTTTTTTTTTTTTTGACAGGCAGAGTGGACAGTGAGAGAGAAAGGTCTTCGTTTTGCCGTTGGTTCACCCTCCAGTGGCCGCCGCGGCCGGCGCACCGCGCTGATCCGAAGCCAGGAACCAGGTGCTTCTCCTGGTCTCCCATGGGGTGCAGGGCCCAAGCACTTGGGCCATCCTCCACTGCACTCCTGGGCCACAGCAGAGAGCTGGCCTGGAAGAGGGGCAACCGGGACAGAATCCGGCGCCCTGACAGGGACTAGAACCCGGAGTGCCAGCGCCGCAGGCAGAGGATTAGCCTAGTGAGCCGCGGCGCTGGCCAGTAAATGCTACCTTCTGTTCCTACTGCAAAAGCGTTATAAAGCCCAGGGGCTTTCTTGCCCCAGGATAAAGAGCCAGGGCTGCTTCCTCCTCCATGCGGGGTTGGCCTCTGCCTGACCCCACCCCCAGCCCCCCTCACAGCCCTGGATCTGCCTCAGAGAAAGCCACACTCGAGGTACGTATGGAGGGCTCACCGATCATGCCCGCGTAGGAGCCCAGACACGCTTGGTAATTGTCCCCGGGGCAGCTGGTGACAGTCCGGTAGGAGGCTCGACAGTTGGCGTGGAAGTCGGCCAGCCGGGACCTGTGCAGGAGAGATCCAATGGAGAAACAGGGGCTTAGTCTGGTGGGCTTCCCACCTCCTCTGCCAGACCAGCTCCTCCGGCAGCTCCCCGGGATGGAGGGAGACTGAAAGAGGGAAGGGAAGTCAGAGCTGGGGGCTCCCCAAGAACCAGGCACAAGGTGTGGCTTAAGAAAAAGCCCACAGCTACCAGCCCAAGGGCTCGGGAAGGCAAGAAGCAGTGCACTCGGAACGGCTTTGTTCTGGAAGAGGAGCGGGTGTGGGAGGTGCAGGAGGCATGAGGGCTGGGCTCCACGTTCTCCCGAGAACACTCCTGGATGATCTTATCCATACATCAGTCTTCCCATCTGCAAAACCAGCCCAATAATCCCAGTCCCCGCCACCACACGGGATCCGTCCAAGACTGAAAGGAGCCAGATGTCAGGGAGGTAACAGAGTCTGTTTGGGGTGAGAGACCCCCGTGGCCATTCCTGATGGTCTCTCTACTGTGCCATGTCCGAGCCAGACACCCATGCCTCCCCTCCATCACCCACCCCAGGGCCACCAGGCAGGATCAGCCACTGATTCCCCAGAAAACTGGGACATGCCGTCACCCACTCCTCCCCACCGGCACCTCGGACGCCACACCCTAACCACCTGTGCACAGCTCCTCGCCCAGCCAGGAGCTGTCTGTCTGAAGGCAGATGCTGTCTGCCTGGGGGTCTGTCCCAGTCCCCAGCACCAGACCTGGACATGGCGCGGTGTGGCCACGGATGTCCAACAGCAATCATCACCTCCTACAGGTGAATCCACTGCCACGCGGTCCTCAGGTGTCTGCGCCTTATCCAAGGGTGTCGTGCAAATGAGCGCACAGTGGGACTCGACCCCTCCTGCACCTCCCAGTGTCAAGCCCAAGTTCCCCACCAGAACTTTGTCCCCTTTGAGAAAGGAGATGGAGAGGGAGTAGACGAGAGACAGGGAGAGACTGAGACAGCCTGAGCAAGGAGAGAGAACCCAGACTCGAAATAAGAGGTGTGTTCTGCTCACAGTCCTGGAAGTTCAAGGTCATGGCTGCAGCACGGGCTGAGCTCTGGGTGAGGACCCCACACCAGAGGGAGTCACGGGGCAGGAACGTGTGTGTGAGGAAGGGACCCAACTCAAAGCCAGAGCAAGCTCTGTTCACAGCCACCCTCCTGTGGGCAGGGACTCAGGGGCCCAGCACGACTATTCCGTCACAGCAACTTGGATGAAGGTACTTTCACATCCATCCTTTAACACTGAACCCTCACAAAACCTCTGTGAGATCTGACAAGGAGGTGTTACCACCCCATTTTACGGATGAGGAAGCTGAGCCCCGGAGAGCTTGACAGAGCCACTGGGCAGGGAGCCAGGACTCAAACCCCCAGCTCCAGCGACCAGGCAAAGTGTGGCTGTGCAGCAGGCGGTGGCCGCAGCCTGCAGAACCAGCCGTCACTCCGCACCTCTGTACCTGCCCTCGTCCCAGGCTCCAGCGGCCCATTTTCAACACAGGATGGAAAAAGTACTGTCAGCTGACTTGCAGATGTAGCAAAACCTACTAGGCAAACAGGATGTCAGGGAGCAGCCAATCACAAGGGGAAATTAAAGAGCAGAGAAGGAAGGAGGAAGGTAACTTTGTAACTCGGCGGGGGGGGGGGGGGACGACTGTCCACGCCGTGGTACTCAGCCAATGAGGAACCGGGGGAGGGGCCTGCACACGAGGCTATGAGCTGCTGTAATGCCCCTGGCATGCCTGCTCACCAGACACCCATCTTGTAAGACGGGTGATGAAACCTCGCTCCCTCTGCATTTCCTGAACCCCAGTCCATCTCCAGTGGACAGGCGAGGATGTGTCCCACACAGGGAGAAGCAGGGTTTCCCACCAGGCCTGCAGACCATGACTCTGTCTGAAATACCCAAACAGTCTGTCCCGCCCTGCGACTCAGCCAGCGAGAGAAGGTGCTGGGACAGGAGCGGGGTGGGCTCTGCTGAGGGGGACAGAGATGTTAATAGGTAGCTGGGATTTGCAGGCAAATTAAAACAAACTCTGTCACGGGTTGAACCGTGCCCCCTCCCACCAAAACCCACATGGAAGTCTTCATCCCCGCTGCCCGTGACTGACCTTAGACTGTGACCTTACTTGGAACCCGGGGCTTTGCAGATGTAATCAAGTTAAAGATTGAGGCCAGCACCATGGCAGGACAGGTTTAGCCATCACCTGCAGTGCTGGCATCCCATATGGGCACCAGTTCACATTCCGGCTGCTCCACTTCCGATCCAGCTCCCTGCTAATGTGGCTGGGAAAGCAGTGGAGGATGGCCCAAGTGCATGGGCCCCTGCACCCACGTGGGAGACCTGGATGAAGCTCCTGGTTCCTGACTTCAGCCTGGCCCAGCCCTGGCTGTTCTGGCCATCTGGTGAGTGACCCAGCAGATGGTGGCTCACTCACTTGTTCTCACTCACTCTCTTTCAAATAAATAAATCTTTTTTAAAAAGTTAAAGATGAGGTCCTAGTGAATCAGGTGGGCCCTAAGCCAATGACTGGGGTTCCTATCAGAAGAGATACAGGTAGACAGGGAGAAGGCGGCCTCGTGCGGATGGAGCAGAGACTGGAGTGATGCAACTGCAGGCCAAGGAGAGCCGTGGGGGCCGACAACCCCCGAGCTCAGACAGGGCGCGGGGCAGGTCCTGCCTCTGAGCTCAGACAGGGCGCGGGGCAGGTCCTGCCTCTGAGGATACAGCCCCGACCTCAGCATTCTGCTTCCAGAACCCAGCGAGCAGAAGTTTCAGTGCTCTGGTTCTTCATCACAGCTGCCCCAGGAAGTGAACACGGTTCCCCCAGGGATGCCGCTGCCTGCTTTGGCCAGGGGTCTCCCTGCTGCAGGTGCCAACGAGAAACCGGAACAGAGCTCCTGCAGGTGCAGCACAAGAGGCTGCCAGCTGCAAGTCGGCCAAAGAGGCGTCCAGGTGCCACCTCTCAGCGGAAACAGAGCAGTCCCTTGGAACGCCACGTGGCCACACACAGGGCCCACCTCCCCAGGGTCCACCCACAAAGCCCTTCTTCAGCTCGCCATGCGGATGTCCGTGCTGCAGTATTCCAGCGACACCGTCTGGACCAGACAACCGAGCACTTGATGGCATGGGGACCCACCTGCTCCCGCCCTGTCCGCTCTCTCCAGCCAGCACACCTTCCAAGTGCTCTGATCTACCGATTGCTTTGTCTCTAGCCTCCACGGCCCCTTTGGACGGGACGGGGCCGAGGTGGGAGACGGCCATCCGTCTTGGCTCCAGATATGCCCAGTGCCCCTGCGTCAATATGTGATTGACAGACTAAAGGCGGGAACAGCACGCATGGCGATGCAAGGTCAGAAAGGAAACCCCAGGGCCTCTCTGCCTCCCAGGCTGGGCGGTGTCCAGGGCACGAGTGGGAAGTCACAGTTCACTTCCCAGGCAAGCACACCCCACCCACTGGGCAGACCTGAGGGCACGTGATGAGAATGGCTGCCAAAGTGGGTGTTGAGACCGTAAAGGAGCGGAAGTGAGAAGAGGTAGAAGGGTTCAGAGCCTGGGGGAGGGGCTGGCCAGGGGGGCTCCTCTGTTAGGAGGGGGCAGGGCACACCCCACGGCTAGACGGGCTGCCACGTGGCCACTCTCTGTCCCTCCCCGGCAGCTGCGATGCTGGGCTGGCCTGCATGTCGCTGGTGCTAACACATGGGGAGAGTCCTGTGTACCTGTCTCCCCCTCCCACGGTTATGGCCACAAGCCAACAAGACACGGGGGAAAAGAGAGGGCCTGGCTCCAGCAGGTGCCCGGTGCAGACAGGCGGCATCGTCCTCCTCTGTAAGTAGCCGTCTGGGCGCCAGCACCATGCCTGCCGCTGGCAGGTAGACACGGCAAACAGGTGCCTGACAGCAAAGGCAAGAGTACCCGCTTACTCTGCCAAGGTGGGACAGGGTCCCGGCAGCAGTCGGGGAGAGACAGCCCGGAAGGCAGCCTGCGGCACCCACAAACCCTCCCAGCCCACACTGCGGGGGGAGCAGCACACTCTTCCTCCCAGGTCTGGCCTATTTCTGTCCCAGCAGGCCCAGCGAGTGGTGCCAGGGCCTGGGAGAGAAAGCTCTCCAGAGCAAAGGGAGGAGGAGTGCGGGGGCCCAGCTCAGCACACAGCAGCAGGGAAAGCCAAGACGAGACAGAGAGAGAGAGAGAGAGAGAAACAAGAGGACCACAAGGACCACACGCCAAGGCCAGCTCGGCAGGGCGGAGCAGAGGCTGCCGGGCGAGCTCGGGCAGCAGGTGGATCTGCACACATCCTCTGTGGGCTGCTTCAGCACCAGCTACAGCCTATCTAATCACAGCGACCTGGCAGAAGGAGACAGACAGAGACACTGGGCTCCCAGTGTGATGAAAAGGTCGCCAGGGTCAACCCGGAGCGTCCACATCATTTGAATTGCAAATGAACCGAGTGGTTTTTGTTGTTTTGCTTTAGTGGCCGGTAGGACCCACGCAGGATCTGGGATGTATTTCCATGCACCGCTTCTTCCCGTTTCTCTGCAATGCACATTTCACTGGGCATCCTGTGTTTGCATTTGTTAGGTCTGGCCACTGTGTGCCCCTGAAGGAAGAGCAGCAAGGCTGGGGGGTGCAAAGATCCGCCCCCACGAGCACAGATCTCCAGATTGGGGAGTAGGGGGGGGTCCTCTGGGCCAGCCGTTCTCACAGAGCAGCCGCGGCACAGGCCAACAGCACCAGCTAGGAACTTGTTAGCAAAGTGAGTTCTCCCGCCCCTCACCCTTGCCAACCTAGACAAACAAGATGTGCGATTCCGGGGCCAGGGCCCACAGCCAGTGCTTTCCGAAGCCACCCCGGGTCTCAGCTTCAGATACCTCCACGTTACAGCCCCGCCACAGAAGAAAAGTGTTGCTTGAGGCCACAGCCCAGGAAAGTTCAGTTACACGGTAAAGAACATGCTTGTAGCCGGCGCCGTGGCTCACTAGGCTAATCCTCTG